ATAACAGAACAAAAGTGAAAGAGAAGCCTAATAACTTCATACAGGCAGAAGAGTCAGCTTTAGCCCAACCTAACTGATACGGAGTGTTGCAGAGACTTGAGTAGGAGGGCAGGGTATCCATGGGCAACAGCCACTGAAGGATATTGAAAAAGCCAGACGGATCCCACTGAGATGAGCAGGGTCTAAACCCTAAGTGGGTATTTCTAGCCTACAGCACCAGAGCCCAAAAAGGATGCAAAAAACACCATGCTGTGAAAAGCAACAGGGTTGCTTTCTGCCTGAGACAGGTGGTTGGTGATCCTAAGAGCCATGTAAAGGGCCAAGGCAAGAATTTTTATCTGTAGGCACCATCCTAGGTCTCCAGCAAAGACAGGGCAGAGTGGTCTAGTGACACTGAGGAGAGACAAGAGATGGAATATTTGGTGGTGGAAAACTGAGAGACTAGCTGGCTGGTTCCCGGTACTAACACCTCCCATGTTGGGCAGCAGACAGCTGGCTCAGACAGACCACTCCACTGAGCAGACACAGGGAGAGAGAGCCAAAATCACCCTGAAGTTTGAGATTTCCCTGCTCTGTGGTGTGTAAGACTGACTGAAGATTGCAGAGTGACTAGTTTAAAAACTGAAGGAGACAACTACAGGCAGTAGATCCCTGCAAGTCTTGAACAGGCTTACTAAGGTCAGACAGGGTCAAAAGCTGACATCATCAGAACCAGATCCAGAACAGGAAAACAGTGGCTTCCTTACACCAAAATTCATACCATAAAGTCAGGACATCAAGGCTGATCAATTAAAATGAAGAATCAATAAAGAAGAGACTCACAAATAATGAGAATGCAAAGAAACTCCCCCCAATAAAAGAGGAATGGGGAATACTCAGAAAGAGATCTAAATGAAATAGATAACTAACAGATCAGATATTGATCAGTAAACTATCAGATATTGAGGTCAAAACAAGGGTTGTAAGGAAGTTCAATGAGCTCAGAGAGCTCAGAGAGAATTAGAAAAAACTATAGGGAAGCTACAAGGAGCTTACTACAAACTATCTCAGCATTCAAAAAGATGTAGTAACTATCAATAAGAGACAAGAGGAAATGACAAATACAATTTCTGAATGGGAGAACACAGTAGAAGGAATCAAAAGCAGGCTAGATGAAATAGAGGAACAAATGAGTGAGCTGGAAGATAAAGTAGAGAAAAGTTACCAGAAAGAGTAAGAAAATGATAAAAGAATCAAGACACATTTAAGGATATGCAGGAAAACTTGAAACATAATAATATCCATATATAGAGATACCTAGAAGGAGATGAAGAGGAGCAAGGGATAAAGAACCTGTTTGAAAGAGGAATGATGGAAAACTTCCCTAATTGGAGGAAAAAAAGTTAACACAAGTCCAAGAAGCACAGAGGGTACCATTCAAGAGGAACACAATGAGGCCCATTCCAAGACACATCATCATTAAAATGTCAAATATCAGAGACAAACAGAGAACCCTAAAGGCAGGAAGATAGTAACAAAGAAGGGAGTGCTGGTACAGCTAGCAGCCAGCTTCTCAACACAAATACTGCAAACCAGGAGAATGGCAAAAAATATTCCAAGTCATGACAAGCAAAGGGCTGCAACCAAGACTGCTCTACCCAGCAAGGCTCTCAGTTAAAATGGAAGGGGAAATAAGGAGTTTCCCCAGACAAGAAGGTTGAAAGAATATACCTCTAGCAAACCAGCATTGCAAGATATGCTAAAGGGACTGCTTTAAGAAAATTTAAAAATAAGTTTATGAATACCCATTTACTTTAACAATCACAAATACTTGATATTATTACCAATTATGTTTAATACTTATTAATCTGATTGTGACAATGGTGTGTTACTTTATTATTTTTTGAAATTAAATCTGCTTTGTTCATTTTTTGCCTATTTCCATTATTCTGCAAAAGCTTTAAATGACATTTTGGTATTCTTTATCCATTTTCTGATTAAAAATTTGGGGAAATTTTTCCCACAAAAGAAAAATGACAAATAACCTATTAATCCTTTTTTAGATGTGTTACAAGTACTTTCATATTCTATTACTTGTCCTTAACATTTGTATATGTATATTCCCAGTCTTAAATGTTTAATATAGTCACAGTGTCAAAAATTTCCTTTATAGCTTCTGAGTTGTAATATTTATTTTTCAGGGTAAGAAAAATATTATTTTGTATTTTCTCCTAACACTCCTTATTTTACTTATTGATATTTATCTAAACTGAATATTTTTTGTATAATTTGTTATTAAGGGCTATTTGTTTTATTTCAGGTAATAGTGGTCCATGCACCTTATTTGTTGAAAAAGCCTTATTTTCCCCATTGGTCTGAAATATCAATTCAATCATACATCACATTGTTAGATATATACATATGTTTAGAGAAAGCTCATTTTATTTCATTGATCTACTTGATTATTTCTGTGCTGGTGTCATGTAGCTTTAATTGCTGAGATTTTTAAATGGATATGTTTTTCAATATTTTATAATGCAATTTGACATTTAAAAAAATAAAGATATAAATCAATCTGCATTTTAAAGAAAAGTAAGAAGGAACTCCTAACTTTTGCAACAACATGGATGGAACTGGACAATATTATGTAAAGTGAAATAAGCCAGTTGATGAAAGACAAATATCATATGATCTGACCTATAAGTGGAATGTATTCAAAACATAAACTAATGAACAAAATAAACTGCAGGTATGACAACATGCATAAGACTGAAAATGACCAGAGGGGATGGGGAAGCAGGACAATGGTGGAAAGAAGGGGAAGGGACTATACAAAGAACATGTATGAATGAGTCATGGCCATGGACAACAGAGTGGGAATTGAATGTGGGAGAGGGGGGCAGGGTGGAATGGGTGTAGGGGACAATGGGGGAAAAATTGAGACAACAGTAAAAGAATAAATGATTAAAAAATTAAAAATTAAAAAAGTTACAATAAAGGAATAAAATTAAACATATTTTTATGCAAAGCTTTTTAAAAATAATAGAAATGGGAAAATATACACAAATAGGTTTAGTTTCAACAAATAGTAAAGAAACAGTTAAAATAACATCATTGTCACAATCAGATTAATGAGTATTAAAAATATTGGTCATATCAAGTATTGGCAACTCAGAAAGGAACTGGGTATTCATAGAAACTTTTACTTCACCTTACAGCAGTTCCTTTAGCATATTTTGCAATGCAGGTTTGGTGGCGATGTATTCTTTCACCCTTCTTCTGTCTGGAAAACTCCTTATTTTGCCTTCCATTTTAATGGAGAGCCTTTCTGGGTAGAGCAGTCTTGGTTGCAGACCTTCTCTTTTCATGACTTGGAAGATTTCTTGCCACTCCCTTCTGGCTGGTAGTCTTTCTGTTGAGAAGTCAGCTGCTACCCATATTGGGGCTCCCTTATATGATGCTACCTCTTTCTCCCTTGCTTGCTTTAGGATTCTCTACTTGTCTTTGATATTTGCCATTTTAATGATGATGTGTCTTGGAGTGGGCCTCATTGGGTTCCTCCTGAATGAGACCCTCTGTGCTTCCTGGACTTGGGTGACATTTTCTCTCCTCCAATTAGGGAAGTTTTCCATCCTGACTTTTCCAAACAGTTTCTCTATCCCTTCCTCCTCCTCTCTCCTTCTGTTATCCCTATTATACAATGCATCTATACATCTCAGGGGCTGCATTCTGTTTCCCACACTGCATGAATGGGTTTGTGAGGTTCTTCTTGGCTTTTCTGACTTACAGAAATATAATAGAGATGTGGACTTCCGGAAAGAAAGTGCCAGAAGAAAGGAGAAGAGTCTCAGAGCTGCTGTGTCATGAGGGGATGTGAGCTCTGTCCCTTCTGTGCTGCTAGCACCTCTACTTGGTCCTGGAAAACACTGAGGAGGAATCTAAATAACAAAACTGATAGTAAACATTAAAAATATTAAATGATCAGTGAGTTAATATAAGTAACTTATATAAGTAATATAAGTTATTGAAGATGATGACTTGGGTTTGACAGAGAACTAATTACCAAAGTCCTCATGAAATCACACAGTGATAACTATCATCCAAGGCATTATCATGTGCTGAACTTTGGCTGGACAACATTTTGAGTGGGGTAGTAAATGTACTTTTAAATGGCACAAAAGAAAGGGTTTCAGACGGTCAAAAAGCACACATTCCTCTATGAACGAAACCACAAGAGAGTTCTCTGTAGTTTTTTAGTCTTAAGATTGTATACAGAAGAAGCTGGTTTACAAAAAGATCTAATATCTCCTTGGGGTCTGGGTAGGATGGTTGTTTGAATGTGTGAACTACAGTGAACCCTGGAAAACAAAAATCTAAAGAAATGCAAATGTAATGTTCCCAGTATGACATTGAAAAAATGATGAGCACCTTCACTTAATCTCAAAGAAATTCATTATACTAGCACATCCCCAAATCTCTCTTTTTTATAGACTAAAATGTTGATTTCCTCAGGAGATAATAACTTGATTCAGATGTGTCCTCCCAGCTAAGTAACCACTCTGCCACCAGCTTTCCATATGTTACAAATGATGAAATACTCATAGCAATGTGATCAGGAAACACATTCAGAACCCTCCCAAACTTGTCTTAAATGCCCACAATATGTGATCACGGGCCTGAGCCATGAGCAAACATTTATCCCCAGAATCTTGGAATTCACATCTCTGAGCTGATGACTCCCAAAACACACAATGTAAATTTCTTTCTCCAGGGCACAGGAAGGAGATCCTTTGATGTGAAGGAGGTAATTTCCTTGAAACTTTTCTAATGAAAGTTCAGGGACAGACTTTTTTTTTACCGGAACGTGGGATATCCAAGCAGCATTGTGCTATCCAAGTTCCACAGGATATATCCAAGCAGCTCTGGAGGCCCAAAAGGAAAATGTTTAGTACAAGTAAACAAAAAAAGAAGAATGTGTCTATTATCTAGAGGACCTTCAGAATGCATTGTCCTATACCAGGATGTTTACTGTCAATGAGGCAAATCGATCTCTTACAATCAATGACAGGCAGATTCACCATGAAGCATCCCACAGGCAAACAGTATATGAAGAGGCAAAGGTACTGAGTCTCTGCATCAGGCAGCCTACTCCAAACACCTACGGCACTGGAACCAACCAGAGGCTAAGGATGAAGGTCCTGCTGCTGACTCTTTTACTCAGTCTGGTTTGCGCTAACCTCTCTACAACAGACCTCTCACAGGTACTTTCCACTAAGTCTTTGATTGTGTGTTTTTGAGTGTGTGTGCCTGCCTTTTTTGTAGTTGTTATATATGTGCCAAATTTATATGCACCTATGCACTTGGCCATCTACATCTGATGCAGATTTGTTTGTTAGTCAGTTCATTTTGGACACTTACTGTACTGGTATTTTCTCTTCATCATTGGTAGAGCTGACAAAGTGACTAGTTATATATTTCAATGGTGTTTGTAAACCAAAACAAAACAGTTCTGTTTAGCCCTACATGTCAGATAAAGAATTTTTGGGTGAAGCACTGGCACTTGATACTAGAGCTTAATCTATTTCTGGAATATCTCAGTTACCAGCTAAGATTTTTAAAACCCAAAAACTTTCTGTTTTGATGTTATTTCATAAATCTTGTCTCCTTTGGTAGAGTTAGGTGGTTTTGTCATGTTGAACAAACAATGAGAAACTCTTGAAAAATGAGGTCTGAGAAAATGTTTAAATATTGTTTGAGTACAATTTCTGATGGAATTTTACTTTTAGTTTTCAGGAGAATGGAAGAGCCTCTATGTGGCCTCCAATAATCCCATGATGACAAATGAGAATGGCCCATTTCTGTGTTTTAACCGTGAAATTAATTTTGAAAGAGCAAATAACAATATATCTTTTGATTATTTTCTCAAGTAAGTAACAACGGCAGAGTACACAATGAGTAAACTCTCTGCCTAATGCACAAGGGTGAGATTGAATTGTGTGTTTACTGGGGACTTTGGAGATGTCCAGTCTGGTCTACAATAAATCTCTAGAGATGATTCTGCAACATTTGCTTAGACAATAAATAGCCACAGAAGCATCACCAGGAATCATCTCTTTACAGAAAGAGACCATAATCAGCCCCGAGGGTTTAGACTTCTCAATCCTTACAGTGCCTGACATGAGCCTGCGTGGTCTATGTAGAAATAACAGATGATGGTTCACATTAAGGGAAATGTGGTCAACAGCAGTGTTAGCAGGTAGAGAACAAATGATCTCTACCCTGAAGAATGAATATCAAGATCTATTGAATTAGTCAATTCATTAAATTTTCATGGTGTCAGGGTTATTTATGGAATTGTTGTTCAGCAAAATTGCACATATGTTGTTAAAAAAAAGAATCAAAGAACATAAAGAAGGTTTCCTTTTAACCTTCAATGTTCAAATAGCACTAATGCAACTGATGTGGAAACTTGTAAGAAGTATGTTTGAAACTGTGTAATAATGGTATAGTTGATGTAAAGTTACCATCCTGAAATGGGGAACAAAGAGAGTCCTGTGAGTCTGAAAATTCAAAGGGGTGAGGTGAAAGGTGGAGGATGAACTTGAAAGTGAAATGGGAAATTCAAACAAGGAGGAGTAGCGAGAAATATGCCCATAGTCAGCAGCAACCACTAATGTAAAGCATGTGCAGGGAAATAGAGATCGGGGCCAAGGGCTTGTGAATCGAATGTGTGGAGGGAATTTTATACACAGAAGGAGCAGGAAGAAATGTGCTTAGTCATAAAGGATCTCTTACATCCAAGTATTAATTTTGAGTGTCCCCTACTCAATATGGATATCTGCTGAAATATAAGGAAGCCGACAGATCTTACTCTCTGATTATGCTTACCAGGAAATGAGGATATATTAAACAAAAGACAGATTCTGAAATTTAACTATTCACTTTCAGTTTGACAATGTGGGTCAGGAGAGATGACTTCTAAGAAGATAAGAAAGCTTTAGGAATCATACTTTTCTCTCACTTTCTGCTCTGTCTTTGTCTTTCCTCACTCTCTGTCACACACACACACAAACACACAGCAATATATTTGTTAAATTGGTAATGCCTGTACACACATATGCTATTTATTTTCTGAGGAAGAACAATTATTGACACACCAAAACTTAGGTTTAAGAGGGAGAATCCTAAGTAAATGAACAGAACAAATCATTGCAAGCCAGGAAATGTGGGGTGTTCAAAAACATCAGGTTGTGCTGAGAGAACTTGTGCTTTTCCCATAAGATTAAATACTTGCATTTTTGGTGCTGAGTATGTTATTAACTTTAATGTGTTACAGTTCTTCTTATCCATATGTAGTTGCATTGGGAGACATGGTTAAATTGAAATTTGAAGAGAAGTATTTTGCTGCAAAAGTACATAGGAAATATACTAGGGGAAACAATAGGAAGAAAGAGATTTCAATGAATTTTACAAACACCTCACAAATGAAAGTTGTGAGTAAAGGCTTGGAAAAAAAGGAGAGCTATGAATCTGTTAGGAAATGGGAAGTATTGAACACTATCTTGAAGGGTAAAATTTTTGCTGACATTGAGAACACATTGAAAAAGAACAAATATAAGAAACTAAATGCAGTTTATTTCTGAAGACATAATTTCCTCAAGGGGAGTAGAAGATAAATCAATTTGGTGGGAAATGTGTCCTGCTTGGTAGATGCCATCCTTTGGAATACTCTGTGATTTTCAGTGAAGATGATGGCCTCCTTGCCACTTGATAATCATTTCATCTTGCATGACAATTTCCTCCTTTTTTCAACATCCTATTGATCATAGGCCATAAAGGATATCTGACACGTGGTCGTGGGAGGGGGATGCAGGGAAAATTCTGCTTAGATAGGAAGTTTTTATCATTCTTAATCTCCCAACTTGATGATGCTTTCCCTTCCAGGGTGAATGGAGAATGCGTGCAGCAATATCTCCCTGGGACAAGGATCGAAGGCAATGTTTTCACCCTTAACTGTAAGTACAGTTGCCCATTGCTACAAGAATTTTAGGTTTGAAATGTTGCTGTCAGTTTCTTCCAATATCTTCAAAAATCTGAATACAGGATCTAGCAATATTCAGGATTCTTTGGTTATCCCCTATTTTAATTTCATCCTGCACAAAGACTTATATGATAATGCCTTGAAGGTCCCTGCCAATTTTCACTCCTCTACAGTAAGATCACATTTGGAAAACATTTATTACACAAGGCTTTTAGTTTCATTCCAAAGCTGCAAGATTATTTCAAATGATTTCAGACAATGAAGCCCAATAGGTTATGGTGAACTATATCTATTGGTGTCATTTTGACTTAAAAGGATACACTTTTGGTCACCATAAAACAACTTATTCCTTTCAATATACAGATGATGTAGTTAAAATTTAAACAAGTCTTAGTGATTTGAAACAGCAAATATACCTCATCCTTAACTAAAATGTTTTCTCTAAGCATGTGTGCAAGTTTGTTAGGATATCTTTCTCTTAAATTATCTAATGGTCCTAAAGAATATTCAAAATTTTCAGTGGCCCAATGACATTGAGCATATGTCCACAATTGCATAATATTAAGAATGTTACTTTGATTTCCATGCCAAGGAAAAAATCAATCCTGTTTCTCCCATAGGAGAAATACAAGGAATTTTTTAATCTTGCATTTGATCATACGGTTATAACAACAGACTCATGACATTTAAGGAATATGTTGGCTTCTTTTGAAACCTTGTTTTACAATACATTTAAGTAAGACTGGAAAAATGTGAAATGTTATAAGGTGTAAAAAGACAGTCAAAGAAAGTTTTCTCCTTCTCTCTTCAACTTTTCATCTACTTATGTATTCTGTCTTTCACACAGATGAGGGTATAACACTTTATAAACTTACTTATGCATCAGAAACATCATTGGTGGGGTATTTCATCAACGTGGATGAGAATAATGAGGTCTCTATAATAACTATGATGTACGGTGAGTATGATCTCCTTTGTCATGGTCATTTCACCTGTTTATTGCTGGTATGTATATTCACAGAATCTGTTTGCACTGGCATTATTGATTATCGATAGGAGGACTTTTTCATCACCTAATTAAGGGACACGGGATCCAATCTACAAAATTCTGAAAAGAGGAACTGGTAGACATGGGGCTTTTAGATCTTTGGGCACCTGGAAATAATGCCTACAGCTTAAAATTGTATTAAAAAAATGAGTTTTATATGAAACTCTTTTCTATTAGGTTAACAGATTGTTAGCCCTAGCTCTGTGCATGTTCACCCCAATCCTGTCATTTCAAAACAGTTTTTTAAATGTGTTCCCAACCTTGACCTGGTTGCTTTGTAAACAAACCTTCATCATATGTACCAATTCCCATATATCGATCGCATCAAAATTGAGTTCTCTACCGCTGAGAAATGACAAAGTGGCACTGAGACATGTGCAGGTGTTATACTGTTTTGGGACTTTTATTTACATAAAATCTGGGGTGAAAAGTGGCTTAACAAGAGACCAGATAGCCTGGCTCAACCATGAGGACAAGGCTGATCCTCTGGAAGTCCAGCACCAAGTCTCTAGTGTGTTTTGGTTAAAAGAAAGCAGCGATGTCAGATATTCAAGGAAGCAGAAAGAGGTTCTAGGTGAAGGTGCCTCAAATATCTGGCAATCATGGTTGTCTCTGGGGTCCCCAGCTGGGGCAGGACTGTACGTAGTGACACAGAGGCCTGGGTTGGGCTCTGTGTCTGTGCCTCAATGAGGCAGCTGACTTTGAAACGAGAGACACATGACCTCTGGAACTTTCTCATTTTATCACTTGAAGGCCAGACATCCATTCCTTTTTTGTCATTTATGTATTCAAAAGTTCTTTGGAGTTCTAAGGAACTAATTTCTTCTCCCTCTGTGGTCATTTCCAGGCAAATCATACCATGTGAATGAGCTAGGTTTTGAGAAGTTCAAAGAGCTGACTCGGGAGAAGAACATTCCACAAGAAAATATTGTGGATTATGCTAATTTAGGTAATGAGACTGCATTTTTCCTGAATATCTCATTTAAGTGATATGGAAATATTCTCTTGGGAAACAAACTGATGTATCTTAAATTTCTTCTTCCATCAATCACCTATTATAACATCAGTCATTTAAAAAAAAATAAATTACAAATCCTTGGAAACACTGGGAAATGGTACTGCCTGGCTGCTCTTTGAATTCCTGTTCTTTTTTTTTCCACAGAAGACTGTTCTAAAAATTAATGAATGCAGAGTTCTTGATTCTCACAGGCAGTAAGTACAAATGAGCTGTTGTTCAGCCCTTCTCTCAAGAATTTCATTAGTATACCTTTGATTTTATGTGTGTTGTATACTGTGGGGAACTATGTTTTGTCCAAACAAGGAAATTCTCTCACAAGATGACTTGTCCCTGTGATATCACATATTTTGTTTCTTCTCAGTCCCATTCAAATGGTTAATGGGCAATAGGGTTAATACTGACACAGTTTTGTTGATAAAGCATTAACACAGAAGGGTCACACAGAAAAGTTGTTCTTGGGGGAGAAGCAGAAACTACCAGTATTTGGTACTGAAGACAGAAAAGCATGAGTCTTCCACTCCATATTGTCTCCATGGTTTGTCCATATAGGTCAGTCCTCCAGGGAAATTGGGGTGAAAGTGAACCCCAACTCCTGCAAACACAGAGTCTCCTTTGACATTATTGTGACAGCCACTGGGGGATTGTCCAGCCACATTATCTGACACGTGGTGATTCCGCAGGAGATTTAATTAAGCTGTGGTCCATACAAACTTCCTAATGTGACAAAGATTCTGGGATGGTACATGTCCTGGCAAATATGTCTTTTTTTTTTATTATTTGTTTCTTTTTTAGCTTCTAGGATGAATAGATTGCTTACAAGCCACAAAAACTGTAGGAGGTAGAGGACACAAATATAACTCAATCAGAGTTCCTGCTAATCTCTTTGAAAACCCATCCCCATGCACATCTGCCTTGAGATCAGAAATTCAGGAGTAGCAAGATCCCACTAAACCTACAACTGTGAGAAATTCCAAAGGCACTCTTCAACATCAGAGAGATGAAGAGGACCCAGGGCTCCTGGAACTTGTCCATGAAATTCACTGTCGTCACTTCCAGCCCATCGCACTCCATGTCCTGCAGACTCCCCAGTCAAGGCTTCACCCCATCGACTCAACTAACCTAGGGTCTTGCTTTCTTCTCTCATAGACCATGTACTGAGGACCAATACATCTTCTCAGTGTACCCTGATCAACTGTGGAAATAATTCTTCCCTTGTTCTTGCCCAACATCACCTGTCCCTCTTCAAGAGCTCACTCTCTTTCCTCCCTGCCAATTATCATTCAGAGCCTGTGTGGTGTTACTGGATATCTTGTGTTCAAATAAATTAATTTCAGAGCAAATCTGTTCATGTGAGACTTTGTAGCATTTCGCATAACTTAAAATACACACAAATATCTTTTTAAATAGAGTTGGGTGCTAAAACATGTCTTCAATAGTCTCAGGGCCACCCAAGTATTATTTTTGAAGAGGACTGACTAGAGGAGGACAAGAGGTGAGATGCATGATAAAGGGTAAGCCAGCTTCACATCAGAAAGACCTGTGTTCACATTCACTGCTGTGTAGTGAGGCCTTCACGCAAGAAAAAGATACTAGACAGTAAGTTTCTTTAAAACATTTCAATATCACACCATCTATATATGTACCTATGAGTTTAATATATTTATAAACAGAAATGACTTATTAAAAGTAGTCAAGTTCAGAACTTTTAACAGGGACAAATGAAGTGATCTTTGGACACACTTGTGTGTGTTCTGTTCTCTTCATCCCTTTTTCATATCAAGATATCCATCTCCTGAGCCCTTCCAACAATTGTTATACTTTCCTCAAATGCCAAGTCTGTAGAAATAGTGTCTCCTTCAGAAGAGAACCACATGAACACTCCGTAGTTCTACAATGATTTATTTTACACCCTGAATCTCAGAAACAGGCAATAGAATTGGCAACTGCTGGGAATATTGCTTGTGTTCTGTTTCCTTTTATTGGAAGATAAACTTTCTGGACCCTGAACTGAACTGTCCTCGTGCTGCTGAACTGAGAGGCTTAGGCTGTGGCTGACATGTGGGAAGCTCTTCATTTCTCAATCAACTTCTTCCATAACAAATGATAGCTTTGCTGGGTACCATAGGCATGGTTGCATGCATTGACATTCAGCATTTAGAATATTTCATGACAAGTCTTTCTGGCCAGTGGACTAGTATAGCCATTATGGAAAATAGCATGGAGATTCCTTGAAAAAGTAAAAACATTATTTGATTTTTGTCCCAGCAACCTCACTTCTGGAGATATATTAAGAAACTCAAAAAAAAAAAAAAAACATCAGAGAAGATATGTGCAGCGTTATGTGTATTGTACCATTATTTACAAAAGCCAAGATCTTGTAAACTGCCCAAGTGCCTACAAGTAGATCAGAGGATAAAAAGCTTGTGGTATAATTACACAATAAAATAGTACTCAACAATATAAAATAAAGAAACTTTAAACTTTTACAACAACATGGATGAACCTGGAAAATATTATGTTAAGCAAAGTAAACCAGGAAGGAAAAGACAAGTACCATACAATCTCACTTATTTGGGAAGTCAAAGAAACCATATAAACTGATGAATGAAGTGGGAACAAAAGTATGACTGATGGACAGACTGAAATCTGTCAGGGGGGATGGGAGAAGAGAGAAATGAGTCAGAAAAAGGGAAATGTGTAGCCAGAGATCATGTGTGCCGGACCCATGGACACAGAAAAAAGTGTTGTGACAGACTCAGGGAAGGGGCTGGTGGATGTGTAGGGGTGTGAAAATGGGAAAAATGGGGACATCTGCAATGGCTTATGCAATAGAAATGAATATTTAAATGAAATGTGAGAATGAATGAATGAATGAATGAAAGAAATGTAATATTGTTACCTGTAACAAAGTAGAATAAGAAGGTGCAAATTGAGTGGAAGTCACAGTGACTTCCTCCAAAATATAATCTGGAATTACAACTAAATCATGTGGAAATCATCTAGAACAAAACACTGAACAAAGCGACAGCTGAGCCTTATAACTTCAGAGAGGTAGAAGAACGAGCTTTAGTCCAATGTAACTGGTACTGAGTGTAGCAGAGACTTGAGAATAAGAATGGGGCTCCCATGGATGGCAGCACCAGAAGGATATTGAAACAGACAGATAGATCCCGCTGAGATGAGTGGGGTCTAAAGCATAAGCGGTATCTCCAGCTCACAGCACCACAGTCCAAAAAGTACACAAGTAACACCCAGCTGTGAAAAGCAGCCAGTTGCTCTCCATCTGAGTCAAGAGTATGGAGAAGCAAAGAGCTGCTTAAAGGGCTAATGCATGAATTTTTATCTGTAGGCACCTACCTTGGTCTCCGGCAAAGACAGGGGCAGAGTGGTCTAGTGACACTGAGGAGAGAGCAGAGATGGAATATTACAAGGGGGGAACTGAGAGAATCGCTGGTGGGATCCCTGGGCTGACACCTCCCATGTTGGGCAGCAGCCAGCTGGCTCAACCAGACCACTCCACTGAGCGGAGGCAGGGAGAGAGAGAGAAATATACCTTGCCCACGTAGGACTTTTTCCTTCCCTGTGGTGTCTAAGCCCCAATGATGAGTGCAGAATGACTAGTTTGACAACTGAACCAGACAGCTACAGAAAGTTGATTACTGCAAATTTCAAACAGCCTGCGTAAGGTCAGACAGTGTCAATAGCTGACATCATCAGAGGGAGATTTAAAAGAAAAAAAAAAGCAATCTCCTTCCATAGGAGTTAATACCACAAAGTCAGGAAGTCAAGGCATATCAATTAAAAAGGAGAATCAAAAAAGAAGCAACTCACAAATATTGGGAAGACAAAGTAACTCCCCACAATAAAAGAAAAAGGGGGAATCCCCAGAAAGAGACCTAAATTGAAGAGATGCAAGTAAACTATCAGATATTGTGGTCAAAACAAGGGGTGTAAGAAAGATCAGTGAGCTCAGCGAGCTCAGAGTGAATTACAAAAAACTACAGTGAAACTATGAGGAACTTAATACAAAATATGTCAGCATGAGAAAAGACAAAAACTATCAATAAGAGACTAGAAGAAATGACAACTACAATTTCTGAATGGAAGAGCATAGTAGAAGGATTCAAAAGCAGGCTTTATGAAGCAGAAGAACACAACAGCGAGCTTAAGGATCAGGTAGAAAAAAGATCCCAAGAAGAGCACCAAAATGATAAAAGACTCAAAAAGAATAAAGAGGTGTTTAGGGAAATGCAGGACAACCTGAAATGTAATAATATCCACAAAATAGGGATACCAGAAGGAGGAGAAGAGGAGCAAGAGATAGAGAACCTGTTCAAAAAAGTAAAGATGGAAATCTTCAGTAATTGGAGGAGAGAAAAAGTCTCACAAGTCCTGGAAGCACAAGAGGGTCCCATTCAAGAGGAACCCAATGAGGCTCACTTCGATACACATCATCCTTACAATAGCAAATATCAAAGACAAACACAGAATCCTAAAGGCAGCAAGATAGTAACACATAAGGGAGCCCTGGTACAGCTAGCAACTGACTTCTCAGCAGAAACAGTGAAAGCCAGAAGGGAACAGAAAGAAATATTCCAAGTCAGGAAGCAAAGGGCTGCAACCAAGACTGCTCTAACCAGTAAGGCTCTCAATTAAAATGGAAAGGAAATGAGGAGTTCCCCAAACGGAGGGTGAAAGAATATACCTCCATCAAACCAGCACTGCAAGATGTGCTAAAGGGACTGCTTTCAGTTGAAGAAAACGTGTCTATGAATACCCAGTTCCTTTCACAGTCACCAATACCGTATATTACCAATTATGTTTAATACTTATTCATGTAATTGTGACAATGATGTGTTACTTTATTATTTGTTGAAACTAAACCCATTTTTTAATTTTTTTGCCACACCCATTGTTCTTCAAAAGCTTTAAATGACTTTTTGGTATTCCGTATCCATTTTTTTAATAATAAGTTTGTAGAATATTTTCCCTGAAAAAACAAACAAACAAAAAACAAACGTGATTAACCTTTTTCTAGATGTAGTGCAAATACTTTCCTATTCCATTACTTGTCCTTTAATTTTTTTGTCTTTGAAAATTTTATTTTTTCAATTTTAATTTCAATTTTAATTTTTATACATTTATAAGTCATGTTTATTCTATTACAGTTGTCTCAATTTTTACCCCTTAAGCCCCCTCTACACATCCCTCCCTATAACCCTGCTTCCACATTCATTTCCCACTGTCTTGTCCATGTCCGTGGGTCATTCATACATGTTCTTTCTCTAGTCCCTTCCCCTTCTTCCCACCATTGTCCTCTTTCCCCATCCCCTCTGGTCACTTCAGTCTGTTCCATATTTCATTGTCTGTGGTTTATTTTGTTCATTAGTTTATTTTGTTAAATAGAGTCCTCTTATACTTGAGTTATATGGTATTTTTCTTTCAACAACTGGCTTATTTCACTTAGCTTAATAATCTCCAGTTCCATCCCTGTTGTCTCAAAAGATAGGCGCTCCATCTCTCTCTCCCTCTCGTTCTCTCTTTTTTAAATGAAGTTTGATTTTATTTTTTTAAATGTCAAAATTAATTATAAAATATTTTTAAAAATTTAAAACCATTATAACGTCTCATCAATTAAACCAACATGACACCAGCACAGAAATTATCAAGTAGATCAATGAAATATAATGAGCATTCTAGAGACAAACGTATATATCTGTCTAACAATACAATATATGATTAAGTTGGTATTTCAAATCATTGGGGAAAATAAGGCTTATTCAGCAAATAAGGTGTATGGACCACTATTACTTGAAATAAAATATACAGCCCTATTTCACACACTATATAAGAAATATTCAGATGAGTTAAAAATCAATACGTAGAATCTAAATAGTTTGAGAAGAAAATAGAACAGATATTTTTCATGACTTGACTAAAATATTCAAACCCAGAAACTATAAAGTAAATATTGATACCATGACTATAGTAAACATTTAATTATAAAATAATATACATATAAAAAAGTTAAATGTCAAGGAATAGAATAGGAAAGTATTTGCAACACATTGAAAAGATGGTTAACACGTTTTTGTTTGTTTTTTGTTTTTGTTTTTTGTTTTTTTTTTAGAAATAAAAGTTCTAGAAACCTTTAATCAATAAATGGATAAAGAATACCAACAGTCATTTAAAGTTTTTTAAAAAATATATAAATAGGCAAGGAATATACAAAAACAGGTTTAGTTTCAACAAATAGTAAAGGGGCAGTTAAAATAACATCATTGTCACAATCAGATTAATGAGTATTAAAAATATTGGTCATATCAAGTATTGGCAACTC